CGACACCGAAAGCCACATTAGTAAACAAAGCCTGTTAGGTAGCTTGCGAAGGCCCGCCGCGGCGAAAAATTGTAAATATTAACTGTGAACGCGTGCGAGTGCGACCGAAAGATTCTCGAACGTAAACACCAACGAATTTTGAAAGTTGCCGCAAATAATATTATACCCGTTGGCCCGGGGAAAACTAACACCGGCAATTTTCAAACAAAATTAATTTAATCGAATAATTTTATTTGACATTACATTGTCGTAACGTAAAAGTGTTTTTTTTAATATTATTAAAAGCGGTTATTGGTGATTACGCACAACGCTCGTTACAATATTTTGAATACTAACTCACACAGCCGTACTAACAAACAGTTAGTGCGTCTGATAGGTAGGATAATTATATTGCGTACTAACGAGCGAAGAATCTTTCGGCAAATAATTTAGAAAACGCCGTTGATCAAGCCCAGCGTTGGCTAATAAAATTTTATTATTTTTTCATTCGGCGTACGAATTATAACACAACACTCGCACCCGCGTAGCATAACTGTAATTTTACATAGAATTTAACCGCAAGTAACCCAACAACGAATTATGGACCGCACTCAGACCGAAGTAGAAAATTGGGTATGGACGCTCCAGGAGGAGGAAATCGAAGAATACCTCGACCAGCTGGAGCTCAAAACTAGCGGGAGCAAGCTCTCGAGAGCTGCACGACTGCACAACTGGCTACTCGGCGACTATTCCGCAGCAGATTTCGCGGAAGCCGAACACCAAAACAGCAGTCCAGCCAAAAGAGCCGCCCTACGCTCGGAGCTAATTGTGTCCCTATGCCAGGAACACACAGCATCCGAGCAGGAAGGAGAACACCCGCTAGCCCAACTATTACAGAGTGCGGACGTAATATCGCGAGTTCAAAAAACCGCGATAAACATCGCGAATGCCCTGGACAGCGGAGAAAAATCAAGTAGTAAGAAGGAAATTACTATAACGACCGACGAAGGCTACCAGTTTAAACTACCACCGGCATTCGCAGTGATGATTCAAGACCTTATTTTCCGGTCCAGGGAACATGAGAGGAAATGGGAGGTACAAGACTCACGAAATTCAAATGCGTCTGACCTAACCCAAATAATGCAAGAAATCGTCCAGACCAACATCAAGGTGCAGGAACACATGGACAACCTGTCAACCAGGATTACGGAACTGGAGAATGCCGTACACAAAATTATGCGGCAAGACGAGTCGAACAGTTCCAATGAAGAACCGCAACCCGAAAACACGCGTAGGAGCGTCGCATTCCAGGACACATTCACATGCCATTACGACGCCAGGCTACCCCAGAGCACTCCAGCCGGACCCGGACTGAAGCCCACGGGGGCCGCCGGCAGGACCCCCCGCCGGACGCCCCCTTTCAGAGAGGGTGGACAGCATCAACTTGGTAGAGTTGATACTGAAGTGAACAACCACCCGCCAAGTATGTGGCCATCCCAACAGACGTCAAACCAGCGGTCGACAACAAGGGACGTCGGCCGCGTCGTCCGGGGATGGAAACTCAGGTTCTCCGGAGAAGGCAACGCGAGTATTGACACCTTCTTATCAAGGAGCAGCGCTGGAATTACGGAAGACGAGATGCTCATGGCCGTATCCGAACTACTCACCGGTCCTGCCCTCGTCTGGTTCGAAGCAATGCGCAACGAATGGTTCTCCTACGCGGATTTCGAGGCAGACGCCAGAGCATGGTTTGGGACCAGCAGGCAACAGCAACAGCGCCTGACCAAAGAAGTTCAAGGCCGATACCAGAGCCCAGACGAACCCGCGAATGTATACATCGCGTACATGATGGGCCTAATGAGTCGACTGAACCCAAAAATGTCACACGAGAGCCAGCTGGACCTACTACATGCCAACCTCCTTCCCGAAATCCAGAGCCAAATACGGAGATCAGAAGTAGACTCCGTACGGGCCCTGAACGACCTGGCCACGACGACCCAGAATAATTTGCACCAGCGAAGGACGGAACGGACGATACCGGACCCTCAGTCGACTTTGTATCCTGAGATGGCATATCACCCCCGCACCGACGCGAGCAAGGGTCGTAAAGGGAAAGTGGCATCAATGTCCGGCGACAAACCGGAAGTCAGCGATAGATTGGAACGCATGGAAAAGGTACTCGAAAAGGTGACGCACCAGGACGTCTACACACCGACGCACATTGGTCTGATTTCAAGCGTTGGGAAAAAAATTTTGCTCGAGCTGCTGTTGCAAGCTAGGGACTTGGGGTTGGGCTTAAATTGAAGCTTACGACAAAACGAAGAGATTAGGCTACCGCTTTTTTGTTTATACGTACTAAGGGCAAGTCGGCAAGTACCTGAAGTCAGGCGGTTTTGCACAAAATACAAAAAAATCGAACGATTTGACTGGTTATCCCGAACGGATAATTAGATGGAAAACGAAAAGTATATAATACTTCCTGGTATCATTTCTTACGTATTTTTGTCCGTAGAACACGATTTCATCGTTTAATTGCAGTTTTGACACCAAGAAATACTTTATTTTTAGCTTTTTGAAAAAAAAATCCAAAAAATCGATAAAAAATTTAAAAAAAATACTTTTATTTTACTCTTTCTACTTGGGAAAACTCCGAGAAAAATACATCTTGCATTCCGAAATTAATGTATTTTTGTCCGCTGAACACGAATTTGTACTTTATTTGAGGCTAGGAGGTGAGTAACTGCTTCATTTCTAGATTTTTTCGAAAAAAAGGGAAAAAAACGCGAAACATGATGATAAAAACTTTCGTTTTCCTCGATTTGCTACAAGAAACTCTGGGAAAAATACATCTCGCACCTCAAAATTAGTGTATTTTTGTGCGCTGAACACGAATCTGTACTTTATTTGAGGCTAGGAGGTGAGTAACTGCCTCATTTTGAGCTTTTACTTGAATTTAACGAAAATATTGTTAAAAAGTTTAAAATGAATCTACGTAAATTTGTTATATTTCTATGAATTCAAGTTATTATTTTAATAAGTTTCTTCATCCACTGCATCTTTTTTCAATGTAGGAATAAAGCTCGAACTGCGAAATTAGTATCAACTCGAGCTTGGATTCAAAAAGAAATGTAATATTTTATCTCGAAAGAAAAAAGAAATTTGCGATACACTCGAGTGGCTTTACAATTTTGAAAGGGGTAACTTCCGAAACGTTTTCTTTCACGTATATTTGAGCTTACTTAGAACGTTTTTGAACTTTGATACAAACTATAACGGCGAAAATCTATTCTAAATTTTTGTGTGAAAACAAAAATAAAAATGAAAGTTTGATAATGTAAAGACATTAATTAATTAAATAGGAATAACCATGAAACTTGGAATCTTATTTATTTAAATATGAATGAATCGAATCAAACTATAGTTATATTGCTGAACTCTTATTACTGCATTAGACATTACTGAAAAATGTTCAGTAATATAGGAAATCATATTTGGTTTATTTTGGGAATTATAATATATTTCTTATCATTCTATTGCATAAAAAATATTGTTTGATGTTGCATTTTAAATTTAGTTCTTTTACTGCATGTATCCGAATTGTTCTTGAGAGATGTCTTTTTTTGAGCATAGCATTTAAAAAAAAATGTTTTCTACTTTTCGATAATTTTATTGATTGCTTAAACATCAAATAGGTCCATCAAGTAATATTTTAATTTGCGCAAAATTCATTTTAAAATTAACATATTTTGAAGCCATTTCTTCAAAAAAATCGTTTTTCTTTTTTTTTAGTGTATAAAATCTAGATATGTTATTTTAAAGTCAAACATTTTTATTTTAAATATCTAAGGAGTAAATTATAATGTCATGAGTAAATTTTAAGTCTCCAACAATAAGTATAGATCAAGAGTTATGAGCCAACATATCGGGTAGGGGCATTTTTCAATTACGACTCATGTATAATTTACGATTCATATGAAATAAGTATCAGCATTCATAAAAGATTCGTTTACTTATTATGAGTTTATTTATAACACTTTTGAAATATTAAAGAAAAAAATATTATTTTAAAAAAAGTTTTACAGAATGATTGACTATAAACATACTTTCCACCCACTCACTCTACTTTGTTTACATGCGTGATATAATGTAAACAAAGCGTGGAAGGGCAGTTAATATTGATAACAATAACAAAGATATAATAAATAGAGATAATTTCTAAGTATTTTTTTAAGTTTAGAAGCTGAAAACAATAACACAAATCATTCGTTTTTTTTATTTATTAGTTTATAATATTTCAGTAGCTTCCTAGCTTCTGAACGTAGCACTTCGCGTAACACGGCAGAATGTTTACTGTAAAGTTTAAAGTTAACGATTTGTACAGTGTAATTAAAGATAAAAGTCATCTTGATTTTAGTGAAAGGAAAAGGCTGGTACTGCAACATGTGTCAAAAAAGTTTGGAGTTAAGTGAAGGAAATCTGTGAGATTTCAAATTAGTGAAAGATTGAGGAAAGGGTTTTTCAATCATTATAGCAACAAAATGAATGCAGTAAGAAAGCTAAATAACCCTGTTGAAAAAATCCAGTAGGATTTCCAACTGAAATTTCCAGCTGAATTTCTAGCTGGATTTCACTGGATTTCCACCTGAATTTGACTGGATTTACAGTTGAATTTTCAACTGAATGTAGGTGGATTTTTTATTTCTAAAAATTTAGTAGGATTTCCAACTGAATTTTCCAACTGGATTTCTAGCTGGATTACACTGGATTTCTACTTGAAATCACTGGATTTACAGTTGAATTTTCAACTGAATGTAGGTGGATTTTTAACGCTGTTGAAAAAATTCAGAAAGATTTCCAACTGGATTTCTCGCTGGATTTATAGGTGCAAATACTGCACTGAATGGATTTTGAAAAAAAGTTAGAAATGCAATTAGTCATATTGTTTTCATTTTATTTTAATAAATAAATAAAGTTTTTATTTTAAGTTAATAAATATTGGTTAAATTAATAAATATTACACTCGTAAAGTAACTTCATTTGTTTAATTTCTAGTTCGCAAAGTCATAAGTATATTTTATAAATATACTACATAATGGTAACGTGTACGCCTTTTAAACATATTGAAAATACTTTTCAAAGATAATTCTGTATTTTTATGATCACATTAATATCACACATGAACGAATCATACATTAGTCTTGAAGTATCATTAAACTATTTTTCGATTTGTAATTTAGAGAGGAATATACCTTTTTTAACAATATTTTGAATAATTGTAGTTGAATAAAAAGAAAAAAAGAATTCGCATTATATTATTTTTCTATTAGAAAAATAATCTTGACAACGGTCAAGTGATTAAAATAATGAGTATCCACATAGATGATTATTTTACATTATAAAAAACATTTGGAATATAAATATCGGCTGTGAATAGACTAAAGAGGAACAACTATTACTAAAAGAAAAAAAAATGTTAAAGTACGATTTGTACTTAAATCTAATAATAACTTCTTGCATACATTACTGCACGTTGACTTTTTTGCGCATACTCTGAATGCAAGCATTGATTTCTTCCGTCAAGTAAGAATTTCTTTCAATTGATAATTCTTTCATAGATGGTTTTGCTTGGCCTCTTTTCTTTTTAAAATATAAAAGACATCCTGCGCAAGGAATTATTTATAAATAAATATATATATAATGAGGAACGGTTGGAATGATAATATATGTACGTACTGTCTAAAATATCGAGTTCAAATGAATCAAAAGGCTATCTACAGTTTTTTTTGTTTGGTGTAACCTTCGTTGAGTGAGCTTTGATACATTTTCTTGCACGATCTTCCTCAGAAGGGTACATGTGTCGAAAAATCATTTTCAAAAAGTATTTTGCTTCTTTTCTTATGTATTTTTCCCAATTCTCTAAGGGAATTTTGAGTTGATCAGTTATTTTAAATACTTTTATCTGTAACAGATCAATAAATATACATTATAGATATTTTATTTATATTTCAAAAATTATTTACTATTACTTTTTTGTCAAAGAGAAATCATAAGTTCAAGCACGTGCATAAATAATTGAATATTGAATAAATTAATTAAATAAGTCAATTTAATAGGTTAATTAATATAGGACATTACATAATTACCTTGTATCCATCTTCATCGATGATTGTATTTTTGTGTCCAAAATTCTTGAAACGTGAATCAATTGACGGTAAAGAACTTGCTCCTGTGTTGTTTGATTTATTATCTTCAAAATCATGGTTACTTTTTGCTTTTTCATTAGACTGGGGCATCTTGTGTGTAAATAATTTCTTGGAACTAGAAATTCCTGCTGCTAGTGTTAGAAATTCGGTTTCACTAAAACCGATATGCTGAGGTTTCTTTAATGGTAAGTCAAACGAGTTTTCATCATCAGAATCAAAAATTATCCCTGCAAATAACAGAAAATTTCATTACAACGATTATTTGACAATGTTTTTACTTGTTTATTGATTATTATACTTGCTTTTTCTGGGATTCTGTGACTTGAACAAAATAGGGCTGTTCTTTGGTGATACTGTTACTGATTCATTGTTGTCTTGTAGACTTTCCAACACATTTGAATTTAAAGGTGCAGATGAGTCTTCGATAGGTTTATAATTGTGCTGGTTCTTTATTTCAGCATTACTTTTTTTGGTTACATTGCCGCTAATTGTTGCGGCTTTCGTAAAAACATTTTCAGATTTTATTGAGGAGTACAAATTAATTAATATTTATAAAATTACACTAACTTGATTTTGGAGTTGAACTAAAGTGATTAAGCGTATACAAATTTCTTGGAGCAATTTTATTTTCAGCATTGCTACGTCCTTTAATTCCTACGTTTACTAAACTTGGCGAATAATTTAATTCATCATGTGCATATATAGGTTTCATAGGAGGTGTCTTTTCTAATTGATTGCTACCGTGTCGAATGCTCTGCAAAATTTAATTTATTTACTATCTTTATATAAATACTGATATATAATTACAATATAATTACAAAATACAATACAAAAATAAGAAAATTATTAAAATTAATAATTAAAATGTTATCTTTTACCTCTTTTGACATAAGTATTTCATTCTGGCTTTCAATACGAGTATTGGCAAAATTACTTGCATTTTCATCGACTTTCAAGCTTTTCGATAAAGATAATTCTTTCTTCAAAACTTTACATGACTCTTCACATTGAAGTAATTGAAATTGTAATTTTTCATTAATTATTTTGTATTTTTCAGTTTTCTTTTTTTCAATGATAAGATTCTCCTTATGCCTAAGGCACACTTTTTCCATAGCATCTCGCTCAACAGTCGTAATTTTCACAATTTCTTTTAAAGACAAAATTTGCTCATTATAAAAAGGAGAATTTTCTTGTACTATTTCGATCTTTTTATCATCTACAATGATATTGTTGTTACTTTTTATATCTGTTTCTTGCACTTCTTGTTGATGTAGATCTATTTCCATGTCTGCACTTGTTTCCATAAATTTTCTCATTTTAAAGTTGAAAATTTTTGCATCTAAATTGGTTCTTTGCTGCAGCATTACAAACATCACAAAATAACATAATATCAATACATTTTTTTACTGTTTTTTTAAATAACGTGCTCACTTTTTGATCCAAGATATCTTCTTGCAATTTTTTGTTGTGTTCTTTAACTCTTTTTTTCGTTTCTTTATCTTCAGCGTTGATTTTTTTCTGTTTATCAATTTTTTCAATTGACACGTTTGTGGCATGATCTTTTTGTAGATATTCATCTATAACTGAAGTATTTAAGCGTGGAAAATTTCCTCTTTTGGCCTTGAAATTATATAATTCTTCATCCTCTTCTAAAGAATTTAAGACTGTGAATATAAAAAAATTAAATGTAGTCATAAACTTAGTCTCATTTGATTTTAATACAACCATAGGAACCTCACCTGCTAAGCCCCCTATTTGTACAGGTACTAAATTTTTAACACCCTTCTCATCAACCAGTTTGCACTCATATACTTTCTGCTTTTCATAATCATTACAGTCGCAAGGACGTTTGTCTTGGAAATCAACAACATCCGATATTTTTACAACTGTAATCTTCTTATTATTAAAAACCAATCTGACTTTTACGTGCGTTGGTTCAGTCACAGAACAATAAGTACGTTCAGAGGCACAACTCATCTTTGTAGCATATTTATACCACAGATAGAAGATTCAAGTTTTCTGAAATTTATAAATAGAAAATTTGTCCATTCATTAATAAATATTTAAAAATGAAATATTTTCCAGAAATCACAAAACAAAAAGTCAAAGTATACCTGAGCAAGTGTAAGCGAAGGAACAGCATAAAATTCATTAATCGCCGACCATGCAACTGAGATGGAAAAACAGAGTTAACCCAGTGTTGAATAATTTATTAAGTGAACCGATGAAGGTGCTGAGATTGAACTGAAATAAAATAAAAATAAAGTACTTTTATTAAAACTTTTGTAAATGCGCTAGTGTAAATACATCTCTCACTCACTCTCTCTCTTCTGTGGCGCATCGGAGTCCTCAGGTACCCACAGCCATTAAAACGAAACGAAACCACTCACTCACTCACTCACTCACTCTCTCTCTCTCTCTCTCTCTCTCTCTCTCTCTCTCTCTCTCTCTCTCTCTCTCTCTCTCTCTCTCTCTCTCTCACATGAAGTATTCCAAGAAGCTGTGTTAAAAGAAAAAAGTTGAATTTTCTTAGATATCTATGATATTATCTTAGTGCTATAATACTACTAATCGTGATATGATTTAAACTTTGGTGTTGCTAATTTCTAAATACAAATGTTTTTAATACACTAGCATCTAATACAGCTGTAAATTAAGGCTTCAAAAGCTATTCGATTGATTGAAAAAAACCATCAAACTTATATACTTACAATGTAAAGACTGTTCTTCTTCAACGACTTTCTTTCAACAAATTAACGTTGAAAAAGATGAAATAGCTACGTTGGTTACTAATACCAGTGAAATTTATGGCTTCACTCCCACCAGTGCACCACTAGAATACTGCTGCTGCTCGCCACTGCCTGCATGTCTACACTCTACAGCTACACTGACAATACTCACTACTGCAGTGCTGCCAAACTGTGTCAGGAAAAGAGGGCGCTCATCAACATGCGTGGGAATTCTGAGAATTCAGCTTTGTCTAATAAAATTTGGCGCGTAAAGCATGTATAGTCAGTATATAGGTTCAGTCGCCGACATTCATTTTTGCCTGTGACAGAATCGACCGTTGGAAAAGGTTCAAGCAACGAGTATAATCGCCTATCTTCGTTGATACAAGTATTAACGAACAGTGTTTGTTGTTTTATATTATTCATTCAAGACAACCGTGGACGACCAATAACAATCTATGAACTGCGCAGTAAGTATTATTATTGAGAAATGACAATTATTATTTGTCTGGATGTAACAAACAAAAAAATTCCAATCATACCATCAACATGCAGTAGCATTTATCAAGTTATATCGGAAACAGCTCTGAAAATCTAAGTTTTTTTCATTTTGAAAATCATTTTATAATTCCTCATGCTGCCTGTACACTCCTCTATGCTATATACACTATACAAAAGTTAAACAAAATTATGCTTCTACAACGATAATTGCAATAACAAAATTACATTACATATAAAGCAAAATATTAAGTAATATTTCATTTCTAAATAGTTAACCTGTACATTATAGTTCATTCTTTTATAGGATGAGAGAAAACAAAAGTACTAATGCATTACCATATGAATTAGACATGCATTTGAGTGTAAGATATACCTTAAACAATTGCCTCATCTCCCATCAGAATTTAGTGCAAAGGTGGTGAAAGATTTTGTTTTGATTCCGTTGATCCTCTGTTTTTGGAGCTCCTACTTGGCTAATCTTCCGTACTGCTTGCATTAGCTACATAACTGTAAAAATTTTAATTAAAATGACTTTGCTTGACATTGAAGGTAGAATTATCATTAACTTACTTTATTTTAATTTATTTCTGTTACATATCAACGCCTTCGTCCAATTTTATCAGTAATGAATTCTTCAATACTGGCCACGCTTTGTTTATATGTATCAGTTGCTGGCTGTAGTTTATGTATTGTACAGGTTGATTCACTTAGCACGGATCAGGTATGCTTGGCATTTTTATTTTATAGCTTCTGCTTCAATGAATGCACTTTTGAATAATTTTTATTATATACATGTGCCCAGGTTGCAGGAACATAAGGAAAATAAGAATTTAAAAAATACACAGAGCATGCTACCTTTAATTGTAATGGATTAAGTATGTTCTGAGTTTACTTCTCAAATACGGCCCATCTGTTGGCTGCGTTAAAAAAATAAAATCATACTTAAATAAATACTTATCTGAATTAATTTTTCAGCTGCTCTTAATTAAATTAATTGTTATGGTCAAATTTTATTTTGGACAACACGAACAGGTGTTATTTTGAAGCAAAGTTAACAGCTGTCTTCTGTTATGAGTACTGCTGCGGACTCATGGAGCTGACTGCATGACATTCAACGAATAGAAGTTAGATCTTGAAAGTAAGCAAGCACATACAACAAAATACTTAAGACAGCTCAACATTTTTGTCTTAATTAGCACCTTACGTATATGAAATTGCATAAAAAAATAGTAATTTTTTCAATTGACATACTGAATTATAGATATAATTGTTGTTATAATTTTAGAAGCTTAGGTCTTATACATTTTCACCAATCTTTTGACAATCATTTGTTAATTAAAAAAATTGTTTATCGATATTTTTGTAGTGTAACCTTTTTGGTGTCAAGTAAGGGGATTAAGCTATTGTAAATCCACTATTTCCCAAAAAACTTTTTCAATGAAAAATTGAGCCAACAAGTGAAAAAGCAAGTACTGCAGATTGTACCATATTGACTTTGAGAAGAGCTAAGCTCTCATTAACACCAACATCTATGAATTGTTCAAGTAATAATATAAGCACATTTTTAAATTTATTATGCTGTTATCAATAATTGTATTGAGATGTGGTATTATTCTTTGTAGTTTCAAGTGAATCTAGTGTCATAAATAATATTGGCTATGATCATATGGCTGAAAGTAGTATTGGTGATGCTACAGCTAGTGTACGTAGGTATACTGAGTCTATATACTATGACGATTCCGAAGATGACAGCATTGGCACAGGGGATGTTACCCACTTTATACGTGATTGGCGGCAATCGTCAATATCACTGTATACTGATAGTGGTATTCCTCAATGTTTTATATTGCGCTTAAAGCAGCTTATAACCCATTTCTAAGTACACTATTTCATTTTTAGATAACGTAGAACATAGTATTGGAAATGAGCCAGTCGATATAAACACATCTAACATGGGATCATATATCCACAAGGTAATTAGAAAATAAATTATTATTTTTATATTTTCTCCTAATAATTCAATTGAATGATTAATAAAATCACCTCCTAAATCTCATTCAATTTATAAAATCACTAAAATTTTTATTTTTATAAATTATAAAATTTTAATATGGCAGATTAGTGCAATAGATGTATTATATATATATATATATATAATACATATATATATATATATATATATATATATATATATATATATATATATATATATATTATAAATTATGTTTAGAAAATTAATATTAATGTATTACAATGAGAAAGTGATAGATATATAAAAGAGTGATAATTATCATTTCAATAAATTAAAACATCTTATTTGCAGGATTATTCGTCTTCTGAGAATATTGAAGATCAGTTATTCGATTATACCGATACAGACGAAGACGAAGAAGATTATGAAGATTATCACCTATATAATCAAGAAGAACAAGAAAGCGTTAATCAGTTTGAAAAATTAACAGACTTTTTAACAAAAGATGAATCGAATGAAACAATTGATTCACATTTGGTTGTAAATGTAACAGAAATAATCATAGCTGTTATAGTATTTAGCAAAACCTATTCTCTTCCTCATAGTGGAGTTGCCGATCTGTTTAAAATGATCAATTCATTTTTAGATAAGCCTGCACTGCCAGAAACGCGTTATAAAATCGACAAGCTATTTTATCCAAAAACAGGACAAGAATATCATTCAGTCTGCCCTACTTGCAAGTGTTATGTAGGTGTTTTTAATCATAATATACAAACATTGTATTGTGATGTATGTCAAAAAAATATTAACTTGAAAGATCCATCCTACAGAGATTTTTTTGTAAACATCGATCCCGAAAATGATATAAAGCATCTTATAGAAAATAATGCAGATTATTACTCTAGAATCATCGCTGAAAATAATCAAGCAAACACTGTTATGGAAGACATTCATCATGGAAAAAAATATCAACAATTCGTAGCATCGCTTTTGCCAGAACATAAGAAATCTTACGTTAGTGTGACTTTCAATAGTGATGGATCACCATTGTTTAAAAGCTCAAAATTTTCGGTATGGCCGATCCAGATAATGATAAACGAAGTTCCACTGCGTGTTCGAACCAAAAATACAATTGTTTGTTCTATTTGGTTTGGCCATGATAAGCCAAAAATGACCTATTTTTTACAACCATTTGTTCGTAAAATGAATGATTTAGCAAGAAATGGAATAGAATGCAAACTTAATGGAGAAACAAAAAAACTCTACGTGTATTGCATATGTTCTTGTGACGACTCAGTCGCACGTGCCCCAATGCAGGGCATTTCTCTATTTAACGGTTTTTATGGTGGTTCATGGTACTTGCATCCGGGTGTACGAGTTTTACATAAAACTGGATTTGCTACAAAATATCCACTGTTAGATGAAGTTCCTAAACTCAGAACTGCTCATGAAACTTTTGAGAATATGCAAGCTGCCTTAACTTCTAGAAAACCAGTCTACGATATTAAAAATGCAACACCTTTAATTTATCTAAATAGATATGATGTTATTCATGGTTTTGTGCCTGACTCTCTGCATTGCATCGACAAAGGAATTGGGCCTCAGTTTTGTGATTATTGGTTTCATTCAACTGGTAAGCCTTATTCTTTTGCAAAACATTACATTGATGCTATCGATGAGTGTATAAAAAGTTTAAAAGTACCTACACAAATAGCACATTTGTCTCGCTCGATCAAGGATCGGAAATTCTGGAAAGCATCGGAGTGGTCTAACTTTATTTTATTTTATAGTGTACCAGTATTGTCTAACATTATCCCAGGCTTTGAAAAATATATACAACATTGGTCGTTACTCGTCGAAGGTTATCATTTGTTACTGAAAACCAAAGTTAGCTTAACAGATATTGGAATAGCACACAAGTTGTTCAAAAGGTTCATTTGTTTAACACAACTGCTTTACGGAGAGGATGCTATGAGCTACAACGTACACCAGCTCTGGCATGTTACCCAAAGTACAGCACATTGGGGACCGTTATTCGCGCATTGGGGTTACGGTTTCGAGTCCGGAAACGGTAGAATAATTCAAACAGTTCATGCTGCAAAAGGCGTAATAAATCAAATTTGCAGAAGTTTTTGTTTAAATCAAAGTATTCTGATATTAGAAAAACATCTTGCGCAAAAAGAATATTCATCTATCAGGAATTATATAAACTATTTACAAAATAAAGACGATGTTCAGAAAACAAAAATCGGAAGACAAAGTAGATATTTTGGAAACCCAAAAAATGTAAAACAGGAATATTTAACGCTTTTAAATAGACGAAAAAATGAATTACAAGCTTTTAATAAAATGGTTAAAAATGGATGTGTATTCAAAGCAAGTGAAAATTATAGGTCTGATAATAGATTTGCAATTTTAACTGATAACACTTTCATTAAAATAGAAAAATTCTTAGTTGATACAGTAACTCAAAAAGAATGGACTATTTACAAAAAATTATTCGTTGGAAACTCAGCAATTACTGAAGAATTACATTCGATGAAGAAAATTCACTACACAGAGCAATATCCTGAATTTACTGAAACTGGCAATATTGAAAGAATATGCGTCCACATTAATATTACCAACAATGAATATATTTTACCTTTGCCGAATATGTATTCAAAATAGAATGTAATACTTAGATTTTAAACTAAATGTATTTTTAATCATAAATTTAGGCTGTATACTCTGCATGTGGCTAAAATTTATTTGTTTTTTCGAAAGTTTTCAAATATTTCATATTTCTATGTATATAGATAATATGTATTATTGTTTAAAATATTGACGATTAATTATATTTATAATACGTATTCATAACCATTTTAAATCCATCTATGAAAGACTTATCAATTGAAAGAAATTCTTACTTGACGGAAGAAATCAATGCTTGCATTCAGAGTATGCGCAAAAAAGTCAACGTGCAGTAATGTATGCAAGAAGTTATTATTAGATTTAAGTACAAATCGTACTTTAACATTTTTTTTTCTTTTAGTAATAGTTGTTTCTCTTTAGTCTATTCACAGTCGATATTTATATTCCAAATGTTTTTTATAATGTAAAATAATCATCTATGTGGCTACTCATTATTTTAATCACTTGACCGTTGTCAAGATTATTTTTCTAATAGAAAAATAATATAATGCGAATTCTTTTTTTCTTTTTATTCAACTACAATTATTCAAAATATTGTTAAAAAAGGTATATTCCTCTCTAAATTACAAATCGAAAAATAGTTTAATGATACTTCAAGACTAATGTATGATTCGTTCATGTGTGATATTAATGTGATCATAAAAATACAGAATTATCTTTGAAAAGTATTTTCAATATGTTTAAAAAGCGTACACGTTACCATTATGTAGTATATTTATAAAATATACTTATGACTTTGCGAACTAGAAATTAAACAAATGAAGTTACTTTATTTATTTATTTATTTATTTATGTCCAGAGTAAATATACATTAATAATAATTAATGATATACAAATACATTACATTACATGTAATCCAGCAGAGGAATTTCTTCCTGTACGCTGGTCTGGCATGTTTAATAAACTAAAACTAATACTTAAAACTAATTAATAATTTGTATAAAGATATTCCTAATTTGTTGTTCTAATCCCATGTTCTGTTTAGCATCTGTCTAGCTGTAGTGAAATATCCTGGTGTTGCATTCTTGGTTCTTCTGTAGATGACACGTTCTGTGCTTGTTAATCTTGCTGGACATGTTAGTCCTATTGCGCAAGTTTCTCTATAGTGTGGAAAAATTTCTTTGTGTTGTTTGCTCGAGACACATTTGCAAGTTGAGGTGAACACTATGTCATCGACAACTACAATGTCTAGGTATTGAGGTTGATATTTTAGAGGTGATGCTGAGTTCCTGAAAATTTGTGTTCCTTGAATACCTCTGTCAAAGTTTAACAGGGTTTTATTGTTGCCTAGATAGTTTATGTCTCCATAGGTCATTCTGATACAATTTGGTTGTTCTATCAGTTTTCCAGGGGCTGGCATCGGTTTTCTTGACAGTGCTCTATAGTTATTTTCATATGCCATCTCATCAATGGCATCGAAAACTGTTTCTATGGACATTTTGTTATTACTGTTTATGTTATGTTCTTCGAGTGTGGACTTGGTAAATTTTATTCTGTTAATTTATGTAGCTGTCGTTGTTTTCATATTATTCAAGAGGCTGTTAGCTAGCTTTGTGATCCTGTTGATGTCTTGTGTTGATCCTTTCAGCATTTTTTCATAGTTATACTGAGTGATTCTTTTGTGTGATCTTATATGAGATAAATTGCAATTGTTATTTGCACAAATAAATGTTCTAATATCTAGTATTAATTTGTTATGGTCTACTGCATCCTCATGGACTTCCGATGTCGGATACAGAGTACCATAGAGATCAATTAATTGTTTTATATTTTTGCAGTTTAATCTATTTGCCATATTGGGTTTCCTTTGATCCATTTTTTAAGTTTGTTTTTCCTTGTTGTCGTGTTGCTAATTGTTTTTAAGTCATTAGGTAGTTTATTGTATAACATAATTGCTCTTACATAACTGTTTTTTATGCTGATAGTTAGTGTTCTTTTTGGGTGTTGGATTGAGGCGAATCTTGTTTTTCTTTCTTTTCCAATATATTTGTCCTTAAAAGTATCATAGTGGAATAGTAGAGATTCCAACGAAAAGCATTGATCTAAGTTAAGTGGGTATTCATGTGTCACAAATTAGTTTTTATAGATTATTTTTAGTAATTTGTTTTGTAAGTTTTGTATTACTTTAATTCGACCTGTGTACGCTCCTCCCCATGCTATAATTCCATAGGTCATTATGCTGTGAAAGAGTGCGTAATAGATCATTTTTAATGTACTAGTATTCATTATTTTTGATAGCTTATATAGGACAAAAGTTAGATATTTTGTTTTTTGGTATAGGATTTGTAGATGTAAATCCCATTTCATATTACTGTCAAAAGTAACTCCAAGATATTTTATGTTTTCGACTCGGTGTATTGGATGTCCTAAGATTTCAATTTTCAGATTTTTTGGCGTACTGTCATGATAATTTCCAAATTCCATGTACGATGTCTTGTCTATATTCAAAGATAGTTTATTAAGAGCAAGCCAAATTCCCACTTTTTTTAGATAACTGTTCATATCAGTTTCAGCTTCTTTCCAATTCTTACCTTTAGCTATGATTGCTGTATCATCTGCAAAAGATAGTATGGATTTTTCTGGTAGAATCGTTAGTAGATCATTTATGTATAGCAGGAAGAGTAGCGGACCCAGTATAGTTCCTTGAAGTACACCCATTTTTATTATTTGTTTATCGCTACTTGCATTATCTGCCTTCACACATTGTTTTCTATATGTTAGGTAGCTTTTGATAAGGTTATAGGTACTACCCCTAATACCATAGTTGTATAATTTTTGTAACAGTATCTTGTGGTCAACCGTGTCGAAGGCTTTGGCAAGATCCAGAAAAGTTATTGTTATAGGTTTACTTGCATCTAATTGTTCATAAATGTTGTTTGAAATATAATTTAGTGCATGTTTTGTGCTTCTGTTTTTTCGAAAGCCAAATTGATTTGTGGAAAGCAAATTACAGTTGTCAATGAAAGATTGAATTCTTCTATGTATTATTTTTTCAAAGATTTTAGCTATGTTGGAGATTAGAGAAATAGGTCTGTAGTTATTTACTAAATGTTTTTCTTTTGATTTGTGGATTGGTATAATATCCGCTTCTTTCAATGCATCAGGCCAAGTTTCATTAATAATGCACTTATTTATAGCAAGTGCAAGTGGTTTAGATACGTAGTGGATTAATGATTTTAATAATAATGAATTAATTCCATCAACTCCTCCTTTTTTGTTTTTTAGTCTGCCAATTATTTTTTTTACTTCTTGTTCATTTGTATAATTTAAAAATATTGTTTTCGGGTTTATTTTTGGAAGGTTGAGCGTTGCATTTCGCGGTTGTATTATATTATTGCTAAGTTCCGTTCCGATTTCACAAAAAAATGTGTTCATTTTGTTTGCAATTTCTTCTGGGTTGGTGATTCTATTATTTTTGTCCGTGATGTAATCAATAGTTTTGTTATTCTGAGTATTTCTTCCTAGTTTGTTGTTGACAACTGACCATAATTTCTTAGGATCATGTTGCACCATTTCTATGATTTTTTTATCGTATTTTTCTTTTGCTATTGCAATTATCTTATCTAAAATTTTGATAAAATTTTTATAATTATTTTTTTTAATTGTATCGTGAGGATTATTTTTCCATTCAATATATAGGTTTTCTTTAGTTTTACATGAGTTTATTATGCCTTTGGTGATCCATTTTTTTCTTGGCTTCAAGCTATTAATAGTTTTGCTTTTGACATTTTTCTTTTCTGCCTGTTTAAGGCAATATTGAATTTTCATGATTAAGTTATTTATGAGTGTAATATTTATTAATTTAACCAATATTTATTAACTTAAAATAAAAACTTTATTTATTTTGCAACGATTGCCGAAAATCGTAGGACTCGCGCGAGGTAATGAGCGGCTAAGCGAGGTGAGCCGCGTTCGGTTCGCGAGAGAGAGAGAGCGCGTAAGGGGCAATGACCGGGAGGGGAGGCTCCGAGCGCTAGTATGACTGTGCTACTCAGTCAGTTCGTGCGCCTAACCTCCGTATTTTTCCGAGCCGTTCAGTTTTTCGTGCGCTGTTTGATCCTGGTGTGAGTGCGGGCTTCGGTGAGGTGCAGCAGCAGCAGCAGCAGTAATAGCAGTAGCAGCAACTGCAATAGCAGCTATAGCAGCAGCATCAACAGCAACAACATCAGTGGCGACAGCAGCAACAGCAATAACAGCATAGAGGCGGTGCAGCGAGCAGCGTAGCGGCGTTTTAACGATTCGTCGTCCGGATACGGTTGGCCACCGTATCCACATCATCCTCGCGGTAGGTGCACCTTCCCCTTTTTGATTGTTATAACGATTTGGCGTGCGAATCCGCGCAGCGAGCGCGAGGAATTTATTATTGCGTGCGAGCAGGTAGTTCGCGGCAATCGCGGTTTTTTTCTCTCTCTTTCGAAAAGCGTGTTTTGTCAGTCACGCGTGCGTGCGTTAGACTCTCGGCTGATTCCCCGTGTAATTGATTTTATCAAATAAATCATCCCTTGGTTTCTATTCAAACGAGTTTCCGTTATTGTGTTTTTCCTTTGTCCGGAGGTCGCGCCTATATTTGTTTACGTTTCATTCGAATTCGCCGGTAGCGTAGCACGGAGCTCGCTGAGATTAATAGAGGCGAATCGGTAATAGCATTTCTACCGGCGGCCGCCCGAGCGCTACTAGCAAGGAGCGACAGCGCCGCCAAGTGGCGAGTTGGGGGAACCCAACTCGGAACATCGAAGAGACTCTGCGCAGGCGCACTTCGGGGCAAGGTAGGTTACTGTGCTTTAAGCACATAGATAACAAGGCGTCGTTTAGTCGCATCTAAAGGTATATCTGCGTGATTTTAGACTAAACGGCAGCCTGTTACAATTTATTAAAATAAAATGAAAACAATATGACTAATTGCATTTCTAACTTTTTTTCAAAATCCATTCAGTGCAGTATTTGCACCTATAAATCCAGCGAGAAATCCAGTTGGAAATCTTTCTGAATTTTTTCAACAGCGTTAAAAATCCACCTACATTCAGTTGAAAATTCAACTGTAAATCCAGTGATTTCAAGTAGAAATCCAGTGTAATCCAGCTAGAAATCCAGTTGGAAAATTCAGTTGGAAATCCTACTGAATTTTTAGAAATAAAAAATCCACCTACATTCAGTTGAAAATTCAACTGTAAATCCAGTCAAATTCAGGTGGAAATCCAGTGAAATCCAGCTAGAAATTCAGCTGGAAATTTCAGTTGGAAATCCTACTGGATTTTTTCAACAGGGAAGAGCAAACAGCATTTTGAAAAAACATATGAAAATTGGCTACAAAGTAATTTTATTGTTACTTGCAATAAAAAGGAATCTAACCGTAAACCAAGTAAGTATTAATAAAAATATTAATATGAGAAACTTTAATTTATTGTTGAATAATTCTTAAAAACGTAAAAATATTTATTTTAATTCCTGTAATTAAAAAAATACATGTTATATTTTTAAATATAAATACTTTATTTTATCGTATAAAATTGAGGAAACTTATAAAAAATTATTAACTATTGAAAAAAATGAAATGTTTGATCTTACGAACACACTTATTTGAAATTTATTTAATTAATTTTTTTCTAAGAGTGAAGACGTGTGTGACATCCGGGTCACTATCTCAGGTACGTCTGAGGTGGACGTAATCTCAGGCGCTCTATTTGGTTTGCGTGCGTACGCTTAAACCGGGACGAGCGATTGGAGAATTAGAGCTTTTCTACTTCGCGTTTCGCGTAAAAAGAGTGAAAAAATTAAACTGGACTACAAGCCTTCCA